GCTAATGATGTTACTTGTGGTGTTGATGAAAGTACATTACACGTTATTGATACAACTATTGGCACAAATGAATGTACATTTTCTGTTAATGAACAGCAAAAGGTGTAATGAACTCCCATCTTGTAATCTCTACTCCAGGGAGCGTCCTGAAAAAAGTCTCGGGGACAATAGGAGAATTGAGGCGTTTCAGACAACTTGTACCACGAGAAACCCTTATTACAATGAATGACTCCCTTGTGTTGCCGTATTTCGATTACTGTAGTACAGTATAGGAGATCTGTGAAAAGACTTTCTCTGACCAGCTTCAAACCAGCTAGAGTAATTACTTTCTCAACTTATGAGAAGTCTTCTGCCAAGATATTACATAGATAATTAAATTGGGAAAATTTAGAAAGAAGAAGATTTACAGTCAAACTGCCTCAAGCGTGAACACGTAGAGATCATTAATGACTTTATTTTTGGATTCTTGATTTCATTATTCGATTCGAAGATTCATTATTGAAAACGAATCTTCAATATTCAAAGAACAATAATAATTTGAAAATTCGCCTAACTTGGCTTGTAAGCTGTTGTTTATAGCGCAAACAGAAGGTAAGTCATTAATATTACATATTCCTTGCACAAAAAGTTGTTTTTGCATTTCAGTTGCATATATGCTTGGCTTTTGTATATGCCAGGCTTTGAAAATTCGTTTTCAATAATGAATGTTCAAATCGAATAATGAAATCAAGAATCCAAAAATAAAGTTATTAATGACCTCTACGTGTTCACGCTTGAAGTGTTTTGACTGTAAGCAAAGAGCCACATTAATATTAATTAACATTAATATTGTCGCACTATAAACCTGAAGACATTAATCAGTTTACTTGAACGTCTTATTAATATTGAGATTATTACCGGTTTCTGTGGCTACAATCCATAATGTAACCCATTTTCTTTTTTTTTCAGTTTTTCTCGTCATCAAATATTTCTGGAAATCCTTAAAACTACGTCAGAGGACACTAAATAGCTACTAACTACTTGGGCTGAATTAACGCAGGGAATATGAACAAACAAGGAGTATTTATTTCTCTTGTTTTTGCTGTCTGTTTTGTTGTTGGAATCCTCATAAATTCGCTTGGTTATGAAAAAATTCATTCAATGGTCCAGAAGAAAATGAAAGAGAATTTCGAAAAAGTATTTGGTGAATATTTGCATAGAAATCCGACGAACTTTTCTGATGGATTAAAAATTGATGATAATATAACAACCCCTTTCAATACTACTCAAGCAGAATTTGACATTATCCACGAAGTACTTCGAACTTTACGAGGCAGATTTGATGACAGCCATCTACGGCAGGAATCAGCGAAAGTAAATTCGACAAAATTGGTCATGATGTACACTCCGTTTTTTAATGACTTAAATTGGCTTGTAAAAGAAGAAGGCTATAACACAATTGATGGTACAAAGTGCCCCTATTACCAGTGCGAGTTTACAACGGATAAAAAAGATTTTATTCGAAGCGATGCTGTTATATTCCATGCTCGAGACATGACAGGCTTAGAAGAGCTAAGAAACCTTCAAAAAACTAGACCCACCCATCAACGATGGATCTACTTTATAATGGAAAGCCCTATTTTTACGCCGGATCCCTCGCCCTATAATGGAATGTTTAACTGGACTTTGACTTATAGGCCCGATTCAGATTTAAGGTTTCCATATGGAAACTACTTCCCACGACACACACCTTGGAAAGAACAAGAGTCTTTAAAGAAAATTATTGCAAGTAAAACCAAGCTTGTTTTCTGGGCTTCATCGCATTGTGGACTTCTTCGTGACAAATACGTTGGTAAACTTAGGAAATTTATAAATGTAGATATCTTTGGAGCTTGTGGGGCATTGTTGGGTGGTGGTGCAGGGTCGTGTGCGCGATTTTCAAAGGATTGTACAGAAAAACTTCAACAGTACAAGTTCGCCCTTGCATTTGAAAACTATATGTGTGAAGACTACATCACAGAAAAATACTGGTGGAGATTATTGATAGGTGTGGTTCCTGTTGTTATGGGTGGATCCAAGTACGACAGTAAAGTAGCAGTCCCAGGGTCTTATATCAACGCGGCTGACTTTCCAACCACTCAAGCACTAGCGAACTATCTTCTTTACTTGAACAAGAATAACACAGCCTACATGGAGTTCTTTGAATGGAAAAAGAAATATGTTGTTCGGGATACCCTGAAGTATTTCAAGTGCGCCTTGTGTGCAAAACTGAATTTGGATCACAAACCCAAAATGTACGAACGACTCGACGAGACGTGGAGCAAGACTAAACATTGTGGTAAAACGGATAAGATATTTAATGATATTATTAATCGATCTTGACTCGATAGGATATTAATAGTTCTTTTGCGAACTCGATTGATTGACCACGAAACAATGGCTTGGAGCTAGTCGAACTTCAGTGGACTTTATGTGCTCATACATTAGTTTATTTTACTGCGTTTATCAAGTGCTACCATTGTTACGTGGTCACTGATCAAACGAATTCAGGAATTCTTGGCTAAATTGTGATTTTGCCATCGTAAAAGTCATTTCCTAGCACGATAAGCACAGTAATAATAATCCAAAAATATTAAAACTCGAATAATTTCAAAACTGAAAAATGAAAATCTCTGAAACTTTCTGACCTTGAAGACTACCATAGTATGTTTCAGATAGTGAACGCCGTTTCTCTGGATCTGGTCAGATTACGCCAAAAAAATTTAAAAAGATAATCACATGACGTCACTGTGCCTTCAGGGCGTGTCCGATGGTCACGAAATACACACGATTTAAAACTTCCATCTATACCTGCAACTAGTATAAACTCATATTTGGCCAAGGTATATTTGGTACAGCGCAGTTTGCAATACAAGTAGAGGAGTCGTGCTTCAAAATTATTGTATCGAGTCACCTTAACCCGTGGAAAAATAGTACACACGATTGATGGGTTGCAAGAATTCCGAAGAGAGTCAAAAGACAAAAACATGGAGTCCATTGAGGTGCTGTTAACAATGGATGCTAATGAGAAATCTTTTGTTAAATAGCACCAACATGGCCGCGATGACGTAACGTGCAATCGAAGAATAGTAGACTCTAAAGTCATTATTTTCTTTTGTTCTTTATCAACTGGTACTAACTAAATAGTCATTTTTCTTTCACGGGTTGAATAAATTACTCAATCTTTTCACGGGTCACTATTGATCTATTATAATAAGCTCCCGAAAAGGTGCTGCCGGAAAATGAACCAATGAACTGCGTGTTACGATTACTGCGCACGTGCAAACGTACGCGCACGTAAACTTGGTTTGAATTGATGTGTAAGCATACCTATCTGGCATGACTGACAACGTCTTCTCGACAAAACTAAAATTGTAAGTCTTAAATTCATATTTCTATAGAACTACGTGGTTTGAAACCTTTATTTGGAAATGTATATTCAATTACTTACTTTACCAGTTTAACTTTATTATTTTAAGAGAAATATTTGGTTTCCAACTTGTATGGAATCTATCACCTTCACTTTGAATTTATTTTTGCATTGTGTTCTTTCCATGAGTACTTGAGGTTAAAAAAAAATTATTATATTTAGCGGCATTCATTCCTATAGTCAATATTTTATAACCGGAGTAAAAGTTTCATGGTCTTCGTATTCATAACAAGTGGATTCAGGTTAGTGAAGACGTGAATCTTTATTTTAGGGCCAATTATTTCTCGTTTGGTAAAATAATATTGATTAGCGAAAGAATATAAAAGAAGGAGAAAGATGAGGAGAAGAAAAGGAAGAAAGAAGATTGAAAGAGCTAGGAAAGAGAAGTCGTGCTCAGATACGATAACTAACAAACAAACCGTATAATATCAAACTTATATTGTCCTTCGCGCGGGTTCCCTGTGGTTTTAAACGTTTTGGGCTTCCTTTGTCAAAGGCCAGGGCTCCAAGCTAAATTCAATATGGCGGACAATTGCAAGTGTTTCTTCGCTATAATATCTGGAAGTTTTGATTCATATTTACAACATTTTAAAGCTTTAAATGGCTGAAAAACTACCGAAAAGAAATGTATGTTCATTCCCAAAAGAGGTAAGCTTACTAAATATGGATAAAGAGTAAAAGGCGGCGAACAACAACTATTTTTATTCCTAGGAAAAGTGAGTTTGACTGACTGTGTTGACTTTGTAACGAGGAATAATTCAAGGTAAATAACTTGATATTAATGCAGTCGATAATCTAGTTATGAACTTCATTACGTATTGCTAAATGTTTGTCTGTCTGTCCCATTAATGTGAAGTGCTCAGTGCCTTCATGTGCACAAAACGTGTCCTCACAATTATATAAAACACTAAAAACGTAATGCTAAAACATAAAATTGTCCAAAATAATATGAATATTTTACAAATGATCATTGATAAATTTTCATTTACATCAGAAAATATCTGTTAACATTTGGTCAGCTACGATTTCAAGCTCACGCCCCATCATGTGAGCCCATACAAGTATGTTTCAAAAACACGGTTTTTTGATCTTTTCTCAAAATAATGACTATCTAGGCAAAAAGCAAAAGTGGATTCAGTTAATTCAACTATTCAAGGACTGTATTATATGGTTTAGATTGAATTTTATTTAAAAAAACCACCGTACTTTTTGAGTTGAATGTACGCTATTGGACGTATTTTACAAGAGAAAATGCATGACATAACCGGGGTCAAGCTAGAAAATCGTCTCTCCTTGATATAAAACAGAACCTGTCAAAAAAACAGAAGTGGATTTGAAAACCCCGGGCTTTCCTGAACATTTTGGTATATAATTCATAGGAATTTGTTAAAATTCAGAACCGTATTTTTGCTGATTTTATAAGCTCATACTATCTGTTGGCTATACATTCGCCTCTTATGGTTTCTTAGGTTTCGTAGCCTCGAAAACACGCTAACTACTAGTTAGCGAAAGAACAGAAGATTTACGGGTCATTTAGGATTTTTTGTCACACAGTTTACTTGTGCTATATAACTTTACTTTTAAGAACAACCTTTTGCTTTGGAAAGAGAGGAAAAAGACCGGGAAAGAGCAAATATTCCAAATGTATGGGCAATTTTTTCCAATGATGTTAGACACTTTTCAGTCATGTATATTAACGCTGACCTCTTGCTATCAGTCCTATCGCGATCCGATCTTTTACCTTCAACACTTATCGCAAGGCCTATGGACACATTACCGAAATGTCATTGTTATCTGTCCAGTCCTGGTCCAGTCTAAATGATATACATCCCTCCAACAATAACATCTACACCACACAGCACCTTTAATTTGAGCTATTTCAATACTTATTTTGTAGGAAAACCGATAAAATGACAAAGGAATCTACAATAACAAATATCCGATTGGAAAATTATAGAGGCGACATTTTTAGCTTTACAAAAGCGAAAATTACAGGAAAAACCTTAAAAAACGATTGCGTTGGACTATCTGTGTTTATTTATTTATTTATTTTAAAACAATGATATTCTTATTAAGAAAAAATAAATAAAATTTCTATCGATTTTAGGGTTAAAATACCTTATTCCCCGAACAGGAATTACTAGAATTTTTCATAATTGCAAAATTTAGGTGGATGATATGTAGAATATTTATTGAAAACAATAATATTTGTTTTCAAAAAGATACGGTTGCCTCAAAATTTCTCTTTTTATACTCACGAAAAATACACAATCATAAACTACATTTGTATTTGGGGACGTGCGAAGACTAATTGATTTTTATTTTCTACGAACATGAAGTTTAAAATTTTCTAAAAAAAATGAGGAAATTAATGATAGATATTTACAGTTTCCCTTGAGCAAATTTTGGTTAGAAAACAGACTTTGTATTTTATGTATTTGTATTTTTGGTGTTTTTAGAGCCGGTTCATGATCAATTCGTAATCCTCATTAATATTGAAACAACTGATTTAGATGTTCAAATCTGATTTAGAAGCTATTATATGTATTAATTGACTAATCATCGTCGATTCTAGCTTTGTGTTGCTTAGAAAATTCCATTCAAAATACTATTCTTTTAAACTGATTTGATACGCCTCTAAACAGAGATTTGTATGTCATGTTCAAGATAAAATGTTTTAAGTCAGAACTTGTCGATAAAGCTTGAAAATACGCTCTAAAAAGCCCATTTTCTGAGATCTGGAGTTAACGATGTCGGTTCTTGGAGAAAAAATGGAAAACATTGAATAATTATGGAAGGAAATTAAGGCAGATTTTATTTCTTTTTGCTTTGCATTGTATTTGTTGATAACTGTTTGGATCAAATGGGTATTCAATGTCCGGACGTTTAATTTCAATTAGGCAGGAGTTTTCGTGTCTTTTTTTTATGGTATATTTTACCGATTTGATTTTATGCAAAAAGTAAAGTCGTTCGGCGTGTTTCAAGGCTCTAACAAGCTAGATAATACTGTACATATTATCACCTAAAAAAAACCTGGTCTTGTGGTTTAACGACACTCCTTACTATCAAACCAAAGTTCCGAGCTGATAAACACTTTATTAGACTAACGAATGGACTTTGTTTGTTAATTCAAACGACAAACACAAATTACTTTAAAAAATCCCAAACATTTTATATGTTATAGAGTTCGACATTCCCACGGGGAAAAAACGCTTTTTCCATTCTCTTAACTCTATTTTTTGTCAATATTTACAAAGCATATACTCAAATATAAACATTGAAAAGTGCGAAATGTTTAAATGAAGTATGTAACGACTTTAAATTCAATAAATACAGACTTTCAAATAATCAGATTTACTCGTTAGGTCTTCACTCACGAGTTTACATAATTTTCTAAGTAAATAATGCATTTTTTTGGATAAAATCAGGGAATGTGTCTTCAAGACGGCTTGATTGTATTTGGTGTTACGCTATTGCAAAGTTTTTATAAGATTTTTATCAATTTGTAAGCAAGTGTGCTTTACTTCCCTCTGGCAAGCTGGACGTATAAACTGAGCACTCTTTAGCGCGTATGACCTAAACACCTAACTCTATTTTTTTAGCATTTGAAAAACAAATTCTTTTTCACGTCTCTGTGGGATATATAGATTTTATATATATATATCCAAAACTCGTAAAATCTATTAATTTCATACCTATGTTTTCGAGGTATATTTGATTTCATCTCGCATTATTCTATTTTTTCTTTTCCTTTTTTCCTTTTTCCTCATTTGTTTGGTTTGGTTTGTACGTCTCGTGGGACTGACTGTCACAGAGATTCATGAGTCTGTTTGGTTTAAGCAAATTTTTATTCGCTTTAACAGAAGCCAAGCACTTGATATTCATTTAGCCAGCTAGTTAGCTTAAGTGTATTTCATGTTTCACTAAATATGAGTGCAAAGCTCACTCACTGCGCGGTCTGAAAACGGTTCCGTTTGGCTACAACTTTGATATGGAACGAGCACTTTATTCACCATCAACCGACGGCAAATCCGTGAAGTCATCACTCTTTTTTATGGTCGTTTTACACCTTAAGTCTTAATTACGTAAAGCATGATGGATTGCATTGACATTCACAATATAAAGCGCTTTACATCTTATAATTGTCATTTAAAAAACGTTTTTCAACAAGGTTCTTGAATTGAGAAAGAAAATTCAGGGCAAAAAGAAAGAAAAAAAAAAATTAAAATTCGAGCTCGGAACTCCATTTTTGACTGACAACCGCGTTCGATATTCAGCAAGTTTATTTGTTGTAATTGGGGTAAATACGCAAACAGAGGTCGTCTGTTTTCCTTGTTGTCCAGAAGTGATAATGACAGACACGCGACCCCCTATTCTCTTCAGATCTGCTAATTGCTTTTCCTAAAAACAATGAATAGAAAATAAACGTTCTAATTGAAGAGTGAAAAACGTAAAAATAATTCCCAACGTTTTAAATCATTAGCTAAAACGTTGTCCAAACAACGGAACCGTTGGATTTGTCCTGTTGTGTTCGTGACGTGTTGGTACGGTAGTGCTGTGAAGTGTGGAAGAGAGAGGGCTCGATTTTCGTTAAATCCAGCTGGCGCTAATAGAAGATCAGTTATATACACAATGCAGCTTATATACACCAATAATTCCTGTTTTGCTATTAGCAGGTGCGCCATAAAGAAGCCATTAAAACACTGACAACGATTCCTCATTCATTCTTTGTGTTTTTTTGCTATCCGTTTACACGTGTGGGGAAAAATACTCCCACGGGATTGGTCAACCCGCGCACGCATGTCACAATAACTCGACTCCTGATTGGCTGAGACGCTTTGGAGAAATCTTTTGCTTTTTCGGCTTATTTTCAAAGGCGCGAAAACATTTGGGGAGTCAGCCGGCTGGTAGATTATCGAGTCATAGACCAATCCCTGTAGCCAGGCGATTAGAATTTCAAGATAGTCGAAATAAACTCTAAGTATATCGCTACGGAAATGCTATCTTTCTTCCTCGGAGTACATTGCGTGATTTAGAGAGTTCAGTCCGTTCAACACCGATAGCGAGCCATTCTTTACTTCTTTTGAGCCCGTGCATCTTTATCATGAAATCAAAACTCGTTTCTTTAAAGTCAGTAAGAAGTTAAGTGTCGTTGTTTCGACTGCAGTCTGTCAGTACCTTCACAAATCACGAACGAAAACCATCCTAAAATCCTAAAAATATTCATTACTCTCTTAGTTTTTCTTCTTCTCTGCATCTTCCGGGGTAATAAAGTCATTGTTTTGGAAAAGACATATTCTCTAGAAAAAGAGACGGGACATTTCACACGTTCAAATCAAAGACAGGTACAAACTTTGGCGAATCGGACCATTTTTAAAAAGTAACTTTGACAATACAAAATTGACCAATCAGAGTCGGGATTCTAAATAAGGCTTTGTGGTATAGCATTGGATGCACTAATAAAGACACACACACACACATCGAAATAGACTTGAGGAAGGTTTCAAGAGGGGCTGCAGAAAGCTCACTTCACTGGAATCATTTAACTCTAGTAGAACGATGAATAGCGATTCGGAGTACTCCTCTATTGACGAAAAAGCAGACAAGAAATCAAATGGTAACTATGAAATCTAATCTTATTTTACGAAATAATAATAATGCAGTAATAATAATAATATTATAATAATTGCTAGTTTTTGAAAAAAACTTCTTGAAAATGTACCTCAAAACTGTACCAACTTGACATAATCGGTCAATATATATATATGTATATAGGTCGACTTTTGGACATTCCATGTAAAGTATGTGGTGATCGTTCGTCGGGGAAGCATTATGGCATATATGCCTGCGATGGGTGCAGTGGATTCTTCAAGAGAAGTATTAGACGAAACCGTAGCTATACCTGTCGCGCAACCAACGGCAAAGGTAGCTGCCCAGTGGATAAGATTCACCGGAATCAATGTCGCTCCTGTCGTCTGAAGAAATGCTTTGACGTGAACATGAACAAGGATGGTATGTAAACTATATTATCAAGTTATTGCTAGCAATTTTGACAATAACATCCTGTGCTGCCTTGAAATTCCAAGCTTGTTGACTTTATTAGCTAAACGTTAACTGAAATCACTAGCCTCTTTTTAAACACTTTGAACAACATTAACTTCTTAGCGGAGTTCCAAAATCGAGTTCTATCAAAAAAAAAAAAAAAAAGTTGAAATAAAAAAAACCGACATTGCAAGAAAAATTTGGGCAAAATAATAAAGTTTTTTTGTTTTTGTCGTTGGTATCCCTGTGGGGATGAGATTCCTTTCGTTGCTTAGTATTCTTTTATGTATTTAATCTCCCTCCAATTTGCCGGGAAGAATAAACACGGCTGAGATATTTAGAAGCCGGCAGGGCTCTCTTATTTCTTATTTAAACTACTGTTTGAATGGCACCCGAGGCATTTATGAGATATTAGAAGCTGATGCAGTTACTCACACTATTATCTATTCGTGTTCTTAGTGAAGACACAATGGGGCCCGATTGAAGATTTTCTGGGCATTTCTGTGGAAAATCCCCTAGAATATCATCTATCTATACGTGTGCCATTGGCATGAATTCGTGAATGATCCTTGCTTTCTTGATATATTTACGACCATAAACTAATTTGCCGGCGAAATTGCTTTTGCTAAAACCCACGTTAACTATGTCAAAGATTAAAAAAACGTTGGAAAAGCGAGGGAAAAAGCAAATTAACTTTTAAGTCGTAGACAAATGATCCTAGGAGAAGTGCCTATTCTTTATAACTGAGTAAGAATAGATGCCTTCAGCATTGACATTTAGCCAGCAAATGACGTGGATTTCAAGATAGAAATTATCCGTAGTGAGTGATGACCTTGTATTTAATTTTTCAAGGAAGATTTTATATGCTTCTAGAATTCATTCCGAATAATTGAACCTTTTTTCCTCCTGAAGATTTATGGTGATAAATTATTGTGGGGGAAAAATGATTTGAATGGACTAAGTCAGCTCTCAACCAAAACAATTTCAATTCCATTTGGTTGACGATATCAATGTGCAAGTCATTTTGAGTCAGAAAATCTTGATTCAGTTGATTCTTTGAAATACTGATTGGAAGTAATCATAGATCCGTCACTAGATGGCTAAAAGCATTGGGATATGAAAGGTGAACACTGGTCTATCAGTGGGCTTTCGATAACACCAACGGAAATACCTTACTTCCAAAGCTTTCTTTCGTATAGTTTGTCGTGAAAATCACTTTATCTCGAGGTAACCTTACAAAAACAGAATCATTCTGACTCCTTTGATTTATTCAAAAAAAGCAACTAGCATTTTAAGTCTTGCTTGACTGAAAAGCTACAAGAATTACTTTTCTATATATAATATAATTTGCTTCTTGATATAATCTGTTAGAAAATGCGCTAATGGCGAAAAGATTGAGACACTTATTTGAACCCGCTAAACGGGGTAAAAACCAAAAATGGCTTATTATAAAAGATAAAAGAAAAAAAGTGCATTATTCAGAAGCTGTTGTCTTAAAAAGCATTGATTTTGAACTAAATTACCAAGGCATGTCAGAAAGACACTTTTAAAAGTCAAGAATGCTTAACCGGGGAGGGCGAAATGGAAGCCATTTGTCGAAAAAAAGGATGTCTAGGTTACTTACATCGATCTTCCATTTTAACGTTGGAAAGCACATTTCGATTTCCTTTTTTCTTTGTTTCTTTTTTCTAAAGGATTTGCTGGCTTCTATATTTCATTTTGTGGGTCCATTTAGAAATTTCCTTTACTTATTGAATAATTGTTCAACATTTTAGCCGATTTTGTGAGCGGATAGCCAAGGTGTGAAGAGGAATTCCTCGTTAAAATCTCTTCGTTTGTTTGTAGGTCTTAGAAGAGGAACTTCATTGAATAGCTTCATTAACCATTAATACCAGAAATGCTTTTAATGTTTTGGCTTAAAAGGCTAAGGAAATAACTATTTCAATGATTTTTTTACCTTAAACCTCAAAAACAATCAAGAATCGACGGGCGCTGGCCCTAGTAATCTTTGGTCTTTCCTATCTTCATGACAGAGTCTAGGCCCATTCTTTGCTGGTCTTTCGCACTTCACTATAAAGAAATAGTAAATTATTCAGGTCGAATCAACCTCAGGCATTCTTAGCCTTTCTTTGAAAATAGATTTCATATGGAAAGGTAATTTTTTTACAGTTAATTTATCAGCAAATGCTTCACGATACGAGGAAAAGCTGCCGATTCTAGGTGTAATTAACACCCTTTGCTTTATTCTCGGTAAAACCCACAAACAGCGTCTGAAAAAAACCTACAGTTATTTTTTAAAACCTCTGAAATTTCAAGCACTATTTTTTTTTTTCCACAAGGAAACCTTTTTTTGTCTTTTAACGATGCATGAAAAACTGCTTTTTCATACCAACGTTTTCCAATGACTTCGTCCCAAACTCACAAAAGGACTCACTCTCAAATGAACTGAATTTGGTTCGGCCCAGCGATCAAAGTTCAAATAATAATCAAACAAATAGATTAATCAAATTTTCGCGTTTTAAAAAATCATCAAAAACATACAAAATTTTTCTTAAAGTCTTATTTTTTAAAAATGTTTTATTGGCTTTTCAATAAGTATAAGTATTGATTGTTCAAACCGGGTTGGGCCCAGTTTCGCGTCAGAAACGTGTACATTAATTTAGACTCAAAAAGTATGAACACAGTGCGTCATCGCTTTTAAGAATAAAATAACTTATTTTGAACAAAATGTTATATGTATAATATATAGTCCTAAACTATGCTTTTATTTGAAATTCATGCAACTTTTGGAACTCGTTATTTGCAAAGTTATGGGGGAGTAAATGGACAAACGTCTGATGATAACCATTATGATAGAAATTAAAGTTAGTATTTTTGGTTTCGGAAGACATTCATTTTCACTTTTAAAAAGGTCGTTGAAGGAATCGTGTCCTAAGGACAGAATCAACTTTATGACCCAAAAATGAGTTCGTTAAGACATTTATATTTTATCATCAAACCGAACTCTAACAAAAAAAAAAATGCTTAAAATTATAAAATTCAAATTCTCGCTAAAGCCTCGATCGCAAAACATTGAACCAATGAAAAGTTAAAATTCTTAGTTTAAAATTCCTTCCCAAACCAATTCATTTTTCAAAAAAAAAAAAAAAAAAAAAAAAAAGAGGAACTATTGAGCTTTCTCATAAAAATACTCAATTTGAGAAAGGTTAGTTTAAAGTCAGGAAGCTCAATTCCACAATCAGTTCTCTCTAAAGCGATTCAACTTTTTAACTTTTTTTTACATTGTAGGTCAAGAGTTGTAGCTTTTAAGTGTACCGTGTTGTACGAAAAAATTTACAATCGTTTGACAACAAGAAGGGGAAAATTTTCCACAATTCTGTCTATGATAACCAATAAGTGTTACCAAATATATATTCGGTCTAACTTTTTTTAACAGTATTTAAACTGTTTTAGAAGAGAAATATATTCTTTACAACCGCCACTCCCCATACGGGGCTCTTCCGTGAGGTTCCCTCCACACGCACTACCACTACATTCTATATTTACAACATACAACGCTCGACTCACATGTTGCTTTTTACGGAGGGAGGAAACCGGAGATCCCGGAGAAAATCCTCGTGTGGCAATAGAGAGAACAACACAACAAACAAACTCAACTCACATATGATCCAGTCTGAGCCGGGGCTCGAATTATCCGGACCCTATTGATGAGAGGCGAGCGGTAAACCATTACGCCATCCATGCCACCCAATATGGCTCGAATTTACGTAAAAAAAAGCCTTCCTTACGTATATCTTCTCTCCGCGTTAATTATCATGTATCTAAGCTTACGGCACGCACAAAAATATAATAAAATATTTCTTTTATTCTCGTATCAATTCGTTTAAAGAAAAACAAACAATTCGACTAAAAAACGCTACAGCTTTCGACGTTAATCGAAATGTCGTTGAGCAATTCCTCAAGGCTTATTTTTGAACAATTTCTTGTCTTCTTGTAAACGTTCGTTAATTATTTTTTTATTCTTTTTTGTATTGTTTCACTGGCTATTATATTAAACATGAATTCAGATCTACGGAGATGTGTTTTGTCTCTGAAAATACCTGATTTCACTACCAAAAATATCTGTTTTCACCAATGAAGACACACACTCGTACATTATACAAATATAAGAATGCTCAGATAGACAAATGTACGCCAAAATAAAAGTATGTAGATAATTTTTTACATTCAAAGCTATCCCATAATTTCTTACACATATTTTTTCAACAAATCAGTAAAAAAAATTCCATCAAAGTCACGAAGTTATATATATATTTTTTCCAACGCGATTCAACTCGTTAAATTCGTCTATCTTGTTGTTCAGAAGCTGTGTGTGTGTGTACAGATATATGCCAGAAATTTTAGGATAGTTTGTGGCCTGATCACATAGCTTGCGCTAGTTAGCCATAGTTCTAGATATATTTTTAATAGTTTTAGATATATTTTTATTATTTCTCATAATTTCTTTACGTTTTTTCTTCGATAATATACATGAGCACAGGTGTATTTATCGAGCAGGACTCGGAGAGCTAGTTTATAATGCAGCATTAGTTACATTGTTACTTCATTGTTTACTTAACGCCAAATATCTCTGCCAAACATCTCTGCCAAATAGTCTAGATTTTAAAGATTGCTTTGAACTAAAGGTGTGAACTTAGTAAAACATTTCACCATTCATTCACCATTTATCTTTAGAAATCAAAAATATTTCCACCCCGTTTTCAGTTTCATTGTTGTTATACGATGGTATTTAGCGAATTCTATCATATTAGTTCAGTGATAACATTATCTTTTTTGTAAAAATTATCGACCTTATTGTTTCCTTACTCGAATACTTTTTCTCGTTTCAATCTTCCTAATTCCTTCAGTAATTTATATCTACTAAACCTGGTTTATATTCTTGTTCGTATCGTGTTTTCCAAACCTGTTTTATTTTTGTTGTATTTACTTATATTTCAATTTATATTTCTTTAATCTACGAGTATTTTGAACGTGATTCTTCATCTCGGGAAAAAAGAAAGAAGCATAAGTGGTATATATACGATTTTTTATTTCGAAGAGAATCAAATGGATATAAGATTTTTGACTTTGCAAATCTGTTTTTTTGCCGATTGACTTTGCTTCCTAAACGATTGAATAAATATAAAATTGAAAAAGCTTTAAACACTTCGGCTAGTCCTTCGCTGTTATCTACGGTCCGAAACTTTAGCAAATTAGCAAGTACTCTTTTTTACCGTCGTGTTTGTTCAAAACAGTCTTAAGTAGTTTTATCGCAATTTTCATATTTGGCTGTGAATATACCATATCCTTTGATTATATGTTGGATTGTAAACACATATTCACACTCTTCGGCCATTTACAAGAAAATACGAAGAAAATTGAAAAGAAACAATGGCTAAAAGCTGGTGATTGTAAGAGTAAGCCAAAAGTGTGAACAAATTAATAAATTAAGTTAGACAATTACTTTATAGATTGGTGTGTTTTGAGCACGCGCCGAAAACAGCACGGAACGAATTGAACACACGAAGAAAGAAAACTAAACGAACGACTATGATCAAAGAAAAACATAAACTCTTTAGGAAAATTCCATTCTTTTCTCGTCTGAAAACCACAATATATCATTTTATGATATAGATTAATCGTTTACCACAATGTTCAATAAAAATCAAACAAAAGTGTTTTGTCAACTCGGTCGAAAATAACCCACTAGTCTAAAACAAACAATTGTAGGTTAATAAAGCATCGCCAGAGATCGCCAGATAAGAACTCGTGAATAGTATTTTATTCGCGCCCTGGGGGTATACAAACACAATACTTAATGGTAGCTGGATTGGAAAGCACCTAAGAGGGGCGTTAGTTTCTTAAATTTACTGAACAATTACACAGTTCATACGACTGCAAAAGGTTTATTTGTAATGTAGTTTGGGAGGATCGTATATAGAAGCAAGGTCTCTTGTAGGTCGCTTACTGCAGCGGTGAGTGAAAATAAAGACACAAACGGCTGGGGAATAAAGAACTTAAAGGTGCTCTCTTCTTTTAACTTTATTATGAAATATTCATCTTGTTTCTTACCCCTAGCTGAGCTTTTGTAATGAAACTCTTTTCAAAAGGTATACTGAAAGCATACAAGGAGTATAGTATAATGACAAATAACACACATAGTTTTCTCCAAACGAAAAAGTAACTATTGAAATTAAAGGCGTTTATTAACTGGGTGAGAAGAACCGAGAAAATGGAGACGCTCTTCATCGTGAAGAAGCTAACTTATTTTCTTTTACTTCGTTTTGTTTTACGAAAGAATTTTAAAAAACGAGTAATCTTTTGTATTTGTCGAACGACGATTTCAACGCAGAATTCTCAATTCTTCACAACAAGAGCAAGTCAATATAGCTCTCAGATCCCTTCTCAATACAAGATGAAAAACTCACAAATACTGATAAACTACTTGAAGCCCTCGAAAGGAGAAAAAAGAAGCTTGCTTGTTCAATAGCGATTAAAATGTTAAAACCATAAAGTATTTAATGGTGGTGTTTGTGGTTTTTATCCGTTGTTAATTAAAGGTAAAGATGAAAAAATAGCGGTTCATAATTAGTTTAGGAAGATGTGGCGATAGAACATAGGCTTGAAGATGATTTGTATCTGTAAATGTACTTTCGCGCGCCCCAACCTTAGCAGTATTTAAAACTGGAGTCTTTTTACAGCAATTAACGGAATATCGTATCTATTTTTAGTTTATTTGAATAAGAAGTCTTGTCGTATCATAGGTATTAGTTTATGGCCTGTGGTTTCAAAAATTGAATGGTCCCAGCGAGACGTCGCAATAAAACTTTTTGATTCAAAGACATTGAATGGTTTCTCAAATCTCCTAATATCAATAACACTGGACAAATGTTTCAAAGCTCTTTTTCTTAGCATTATGAAATGAATAAGATAAAAGTTTCGGAGAATTACTTTCCCCTATAAACGGCGCTCTGTGATTAGAGCGTTTTCCGAAGTAGTTTCGGCAAGGGACTTTGAAGGATAAAGAAAGCTTAAACATTCTTGTGCTCGTTATATTTTGTGAATTCAAATCTTCATTCCTGTGAAATTCAATCAGAATTCGTTTAAGATAAATTCTTCTACCGAGTTAGGATAAAATGAATGACTTTCATTTCCAACAAACTTATTATCATTGATTTAAGACCAGGACATTTAAGACTGCTTTTTCTTCGTAGGCCACCTGATTTAAGACAAATAAAGCTCCGATTCGACTTGACCTTGGTTGGAAACCTCACTAACAACTGGCATGGCTTTTTTATTGTTCATTAAAAGTTACTCAGTGCTATGCAGACTATAAAGAAAACGTTTTTTTTTTAACTCCCACGAAGTTAAGAGCTCAAGTTCCCAAGAGCCAGTAACGGTTTCTTTTCTCTTTACGGCGTACATTATTTATTTCTAAATTTTTTTGCCAGTTTTGGCTCCGCATTTGCATTTTAGTGTTACTAGATTAAAGCTTCTTCTAACAAAAGTATTGATATTCATCAAACACCATTCTCAATTTTTTTGTATTTTCCTTTTCCAAGATTATTTTCAAAGGGTTCTGTTACTACGCAAAGAAAGTTTCAAGTGGCAATGCGTCCGTCGTACTACACATACTTAGAGCCAGGGAATAAATTCACATACGGTTCAAAATAGTTACTTAAACCATTAAGCCTTTAATTTCAAGCTTTTAGTAAAGCTAGCTTTGTTTTTGTACGCAACTAGGACTTTTATGCTTCGAGGGGGAAATTGTGGTTATATTTATTAATAGCATTAACACTGAAATTAAATCGATTTGGTTGAACTGAATAAGGCTTTATTACTACGTGTAAGCCATTACAATCATACCTTTCTTTACTACTGTTTATATCATTTAGTTATGGCTTGATTGACCTCGCAGCGGCACTGTTTTATTGTCTATTAATGAACCGAAATTACCGGGTTTTCAGTCTGCATGTCGCGTCGAGCTCTTAGGCAGCACAGGGAGCCCGACGCGGTATTTCGCATTAAAAAATGCTTCTTTTCCCAGGGTGTAATGGATTCCCATTTCAGACCGCGTTTCATTCCCTTGAGAATAAGATTCTTTGTTTAAGTTATGTCCACATTCATGTGTCTTGTCATGTGCAGCCATTTAACAAAGATATAATACTCTAGAGAATGACATTAAGTCTAAAATGGGAAAACACTACTCCCAATTAAGGTAAATAGGTCTTTGCAGAAGTTCTCGGGTGTAACTTGTTGGTCAATACCTGAAAAATACGTTCTAGCACTTAGTAACATTAATATTTTCTCGTGTTGTGTAGGATAAATTTTTTAGAAAATAAAAGGTTTTTTACTATCTTTATCTTACAGCTGTCCAGCATGAGCGCGGACCCAGAAGTTCAACTCTACGCAAACAAAAGATGCTCAAAGAAGCTCAAGATAGACTGGATCTAGTCAGCGTTACGCATGCGCCTCAGGGGCCGAATGGTTTCATGAACACGCTCCTAGCAGCCGAGCCTCATATGGAGGGATGTGCTGTTCCGTCAGGGGACTTTGATCTAGGACTGGAGTATAAACCAATCACGTTGCAGACTGATTTGTCAGTTTCAATGTATTATTCAAGTCCAGACACCGTCTGTGAAGCGGCTGCAAAGCTTTTGTTTATGTCCGTCAAATGGGCAAGAAATATTCCTTCGTTTATCAGTCTACCGTTCCGTGACCAGGTATAAAACATTATGAGTTCGTTTGCACGCTAGGTCATCGCCGCCATTTTGGCGGTATTTAAAGTGTATATCAAGGGGAAAAAAAATTTTCAAAATCACTTATATGTGAACAGTGTAGTAGTATGGTTGCAGTATTTTTGTATGTGGACCTCTCTTTTCAGAGGTATAGACATTTGAAATATCAATATGCAAATGAGATGACGTAAATTCAAGAAGGGGTTACATTTTGAAGCGTAGTTTAAAAAATTTCCTTGATATACACTTTAACAAAGTATTTCTTATTAGCTTCCAACATGGCCGCCATGTCACCACCGCCATGAGTGATGATAGAAAAGGCTTGAAAGGTTTCCTAGCTCAGAAAAAAACAAAAAACAAAAAAAAAACACAACAAACAATATGTTTTGAATTTGCGACTAGATCAAAATAATTAGCCGTTTCAAGGTTGGAACATTGGGTCAAGTTAGACTTGAAGTGCATTTTGGGACTGTTTTGGGGGACAAGATATCAATAGACGCCATCCTTGAAACATGTCCTCTTAAAAAACAATCCCACAATGCACTGCAATACTAACTCGACCCAACTTTCCTCAACCTTGAAACGGCTAATTATATTGAATTATGAGAAATTATTGCTTAAGGTTCCAGTTATTGTCAAGTGGGAAGCGATAGGACTTGTTCCCGGAAGTGCGTCACAAGTTATGTAGGAATGTAATTCATTTCCTGTTTTATCTACAGGTTACTTTACTAGAGGAAAGCTGGAGAGAGCTGTTCCTTCTAGGGGCAAGTCAGTGGTCTATGCCACTAGAAATCGCGCCTATTCTTGCCGCAGCAGGAATGCACATGGACAACACGCCCCCGGAAAAAATCGTTGACGTCATGGCAATTGTGCGGACGTTGCAGGAAGCAGTAAATAAATTTAAAGCTTTTGGGGTGGACTCGACTGAATATGCTTGTTTGAAGGCCATCGTATTGTTCAAACCTAGTAAGTATGAAGATTTCGTGATGGTGACGGTGTTGGATAAGGAATGTTTTTGCTCGTTTCAAACTAAGTCACGCATTCTTATTCTTAACTGATAACAATGAAGAGCTCCGTGACTGTTCAATTATTTTAATTTTAGCCAATCAGAGTGCTTCTTCCAAATTAAGTCCTTTTAGCATTAGCCATTCCGAGGTTGAGAGAGAAACTGGGTCGAGTTGGCATTGCAGTGCATTTTGGGGCTGTAGGTTTTGAGGCACGAAATAGGCTAGCCGCCATCTTGTAACTATATTTCCCCTTAAACACCCCCACAATGCTCTTCAATGCCAGCTCGAACCAGTTTTTTCCTCAACCTCTGAATAGCTTATAGATGTACGCCTAATTCAAGATTCTAATATTTATTCTAACGGTGTCTTTTTTTAGATACGTGTGGCTTAAAGGATTCGGAACAAATAGAGGCTACACAAGACCAAGCTCAGCTCATGCTTGGCGAGTACATTCGTACATCTTATCCAAGCCAGGTAGCAAGATTCGGAAGACTGCTTCTCCTGTTGCCTGCTCTACGAAGAGTCAGCGCTTTGGCGATTGAGGAATTATTCTTCAAAAAGACTATTGGTAGTGTTCCTATTGAACGACTGCTTAGCGACATGTTCAAGAATGAATGATTAAAACAAGATAAACCAAGAAAATAAGAGATCTTTTGGTTCGCCTAAGCAATCAGTCGCTATTGATAATATACACTTAATTGAAGAATCGTTGTCGGGTTCAGAAACATAGAACATAGAAGCTGAGACAGAAATGGCACATGGAAAATGACATAATTATATTATAACTTATTCATTTACGCCATCCATGCAGTTGGTTTAGAATGCCAAACGCGTATTAAAAACAGTGGATGATGCCACGGGTCGCCGGTCACAGCATGCATCTAATAAACATACTTGCCATGTGCCATTTCGGTCTCAGCTTCTATGTTCTATGTTTCTGAACCCGACAACGATTCTTCTATTGAGTGTATCCATGTTCCTTACGGACATAATCTTTTGTAAATCTTATTTTAAAATGTATCGAACCATTATTAGTACTCCATCTTGACGTCCTACCAGCATTGTTCTCGCGGGCTCGATCTGTCCTTGTTTTTTAAGGGGTTGCATTTAATAGTCAGCCTTTGGCTAACAAATCTGTGGCTATCATTCAATTATTGAATTGGAGTTTGGGAAAGTAGTTGATTCTTAGTTGAAGGAGAGGAAAGCATAATGTTATTTTATTTTTATTTTTCTTAAAAAGAGTTTCGGAGCAAAATTTTCTAAATTTAAAAAGTATCAATGACAGAGACACTTAAATCTTGTCCTAACTTGGGAAGAAATACTAATGTTGGTTAAAATACTAATGTAAGAATTGCATGAGACATATAAGGGAAAATGAATAAAAAATGAAAAGAAAAAGGGGAAGAATTGGAAGAAAGAAAGAAAAATAATGAAGAGAAAGGGTAGTAAGAAAGAAAGAAAGAAAGAAAGAAAAAAAGAAAGAACGAATGGATGGATGGATGGATGGATG